GAGTTACGCCGAAGAAGGGGAATTCGATCTGCTATTCACATAGCAGTGTGAAAACTACGAGATCGCCATGCTTAGAATGAAGTATGCACCAAATAGGCTTTCAAATGACTGAATGAATCAGACATATGTTTTGATATTGACATAATATTCATGATTAATATTGTTGTGTTCATTAATTTTTCAATAGGGATGGGATGCGAAAACCGGTTCCTGTTCAGAGTCCAGAGTTTCAATTTCTTGACATCTTTTGCCGTTCTTATAAAAGATTCCCTTATCAGTTCTCGTCCATCACCACATAGCAACGTTCTTTAGTTGCACGGCTAGCCAGAAACATGACATCAAACGCTCACTCGCTCACTCGAAAGTTTGTTTACATTTTACAAGAAAGGATCACAACTTGCAACTGCTAGCAACTTGAACGGGATGCTGGTTCGATATGAAACCGTTTTTTTTTGTTTTGTTTTGTTTTGTTTTTTGTCATGATCTGTTTTTGTTTTTCAGAATTGCATTTGTTTTTGTCTCATGTTCTTTTGTGGTTCATGTCTTGTCAGGTTTTTATTTGGGGGGGGGGGGGTATTTCGTTCCAGGGTGTATGTCTGTCTTTGTCGGTTTTTAGTATTTGCTGTCTCGGTACAAATCAAGTCAAATCAAATCAAGTCAGTCATGTCCAGACCAGGGCCAGCACCAGGATTTTTTTCTTTCCCATAGCATAAAAGGGGCTTGACCAATATGAGGCTGGGCTGAGAAAAATTTGGATTTTTTAATGACTTTCTTGAAAGATTCTCTTTTCTTTTTGAAAATAAATGTGTAATACAAAGTAGTGGTGCACGGTAGAGACATATATTCAAAATCAGGTATGAATTTGCCGGAAAATATAAAATTTGGAACTGACCATCCAATCGTGGTAATTGATTAGGTCGTTATGTCACCTTCCGTGTGCACTGTTCATTGTCACAGAGATGGACTGCAAGCTAACTCTGAACTGACGAATGACACATTTGAGCAATGCTTTAAGTTTCTGACCGGTCGCAGTGAACCAATGAGTGCTTGGAGTTATTTCCAAACGCACCCCCAACGGGCAAGTAACTGAAAGATTCACCCCGTCCCTCCTTGCCCTCACAAACACGTCCGGAAACAAGAATTGTATCAGAACAGAATGGCTACTTGGGTAAATGATTAATGGACTAGCACTTTTCTTACCTCGGGAACTCAAAGCGTTTCACACTGTGACCTCATTCAGTGTCTGGTGACGAAGCACCAAGAGCAACTGGCGGTTCAGTAGCTTGCTCAAGGACACTTAAACATAGTTGCAGTGGCTGGGGATCAAACCACCAACTTCGGGGTTGGGAAAAAACCTCTCTACCGCTGAGCCATGCAGCCCTATTTGTAAGGGCTGGGAGCTGTGGGGGGTGAGGGGGTCTGAAAGCGGGCTGGACAGATTTCTGATGGGGCTGTAGCCCCCTAACCCCCCACCCCAGCTGTAGCCGTGTGCATACATTTATGTCATATCCTAAATGCTTGTTTGTTACTTTGAATTTTGTTTATGGACTTCATGTTGCCCAACCATTTTTACCATCCATCCATTTTCGATCCGCTTTATCCTCACAAGGGTCGCGGGGGGTGCTGAAGCCTATCCCAGCCGTCTTCGGGCAATAGGCGGGGAACACCCGGAACCGTTTGCCAGCCAATCACAGGGCACACACAGACGAACAACCATCCGCGCTCACACTCACATGTAGAGACAATTTTGAGTATTCAATCAGCCTGTCATGCATGTTTTTGAAATGTGGGAGGAAACCGGAATACCCGGAGAAAACCCACGCAGGCCCGGGGAGAACATGCAAACTCCACACAGGGAGGCGGCAGCTGGAATTGAACCCGGTACCTCTGCACTGTGAGGTCGACGCACGAACCACTGGCCCACCGGGCCACCCCTATTATCACCATTTTAACTATATTTTTCTCGATTCAAACTTTTCCGATTCAAAAAATGCCCCAGGTTTAGTTCATCTCTAATTTCGATTCTGACACAAATTTTGATTTCTGCGATTCTGTCCCTGAGGTTTCGAGTCCCAGTCAGCTTCTGTTGGGTTTTTCTCTTAATCATCACCAAGAGTCCATACATTCATCTTTTCCATCTGACCTTTATTTGAACCCTATTGGGCCAGCTATCTGGAAACTCCACACGGTGGCCAACGTAGACGCCGAAAAAAACGAAAAAGATTCCACCTCCTTCTTCAATCTCAATCCTTTTTCCAAGATAAACAATTCCAAATCTCTCCGCCAGCTCCTTCACCTCATCTAGGTGTTTTCCAGTGCTCTTTCCGCGAATTCCTGTACACTCAGTCACTTGTACTACCCAACCAAAATGGCATAAGGCTGATGAGACCCAGGAACCTGTTCCTGCTTTTCGACAGCTGCATGTTCCTGTTCCTTCTCCTAAGCAGCTTCAGGTTCCTGCTGTGGCAGCGCACGCCCTACGTCTGCCACTTGTCCCTGCTCCGGGTGCGCACATCATGCCTCACCTCATGTTTGTCCACTGCATAGCCAACCTCCTGATTGGCCCAGCCAATTACCTCGCGTATGGTTAAGTGGTGCGCCACTGTTATCATTGTCATATTGTTATTTTGACATCGTATTTGCTTTTGTTTCATGTTGTCTTGAGGTCCAGGGCCCGTACAGTCCAGGGACTGCCTCCGCGTACTTTGGGCTTGTTTGGTGGGCATCCCATGTGCCAGACACAGGATGCTTAAAAAAAAAAATAATAATAATAATTCCATTCTGTCTGACACCCTTTTGGTAGTGATGCCATAAAAAGGGTTCATTAATGGAGCAATGAGCAAACACTGTGTGTAAGCAGTGCATCATGTGAATTGCAGTCTCGTAGTCTCATCGTGCAATCACTTTGTTATTATGAATGTTGAAGAAAACTGCCATGACTATAAATGTGTAGATCAAATTCCACCCATGAAAGTGGCTGGTGGGAGTGATGGCCTTCGTCGCCACTGATGAAATTCACCTGCACTTGGCGAGCACTCAGATGTTTATGTCAAGCACCGATTATGACCCATTTTGAATCACACGCAACAATGTGCCGCGCAAAATACCTACTGGAGCTACTCCAGATTTTCACTTCCTGTGTGTGCATTACATCATGGCGTCCCAATACTTATGCCCATAACATTTAGGTCGTTTCTTTAAATCTTCCTTCTCCATCGAGAATAACCGGTTTTAACAAGTTGATCCGAAAAAAGATACCATTTTCACCTTTCGATTTCAGACACACACGATGATAGCAGTTGTCCGAAGATCACATCTCAGTGTCATACTGTCATGTAAATCAATACCTTCTACTTTTGTTTTTATTGCCATTGTCTTGTGCGTGCAACATAGGAAGACGTTCTACGGTAGAAACAAAACTGACTTTCTCTTCTTAACGCGAGTCTTAAACGGAAAATAACCAAAAGTGCCTTCGCATTTCCTGTCGGGCAACTGCTCATGTATGTGCAGTATGTGTTGTCCTTCACACCTAAATGAAAACATGGAGGAAATAAAGTTGACTTCACTGTGGTTGTTTTTATGTTTGGGGAATCACATTGTGGAACACGTCACTAAAATGAAAGTTACAACCTATGGTCGCTTCTTTGACTGAACAATCTGCTTTTGGAATGGCTTTTTTCGCTGATTAAATCTGGGTAGTCAAGTAATTATTCATCACCGTGTCAGTGTGTCACTCTCTGCTACATTCCGCCAAGTCATGTATTTAGACCAGATTTGAACGCTGATTTAATGCGTGGAAAACACTTTATCAGCCCAGCCCTAAATATTATTTTGATGTGAGCAAGCATTGTAGGCGCAAGAATGCAGTACGTGTTATTTGTTCGTCGGTGCGATACTATTGAGATTTTTTTTTTTTATTCATCGAACTGATCGAGAAAAAAAATGCAGTACTGTATTGTCTTAGAAAAAGTATAATGTGTGAAACTTTTGATTTGTTGGCTGTTCTATTTGTTCAAATGAATGAAACACATAAATATGCCTGTGTGTCAATGTTTACATGTGATGGTTAGCCCTGAGACATATGAGTTGAGGCAAAGGTTGCCCTGAACTGGTTGCCAGCCAATCGCAGGGCACACAAAGACAAACATCCAAAAGGTCACACAGAGGCACTATTTCAGTGTTCAATTAACCTGCCATATTTTTGGGCTGTGAGAATAAACAGATTAGAAAATGGATGGATGGATGTTTGTTGTGGTTGATAAACTCACTCATCCCCTAATTCAATTAGCAGCAGACCTTTTTTTTTTTCCAACACATACACACAATGAATTAGCTTTCTACTTTGGTCAAAAGGTAGAATTACAAAGCACAAATCATGAAATGATGGCAAACCTAAAAGCACCCAGGAATAAATCAAGTATAGTATTCCCATTTCAAAATTTGACACAGTTGATTAAAAAGGGGTCTCTAAAACGGTTGAAGATTTACTTGGTTTTAAAAGGTCAACGTTTCGATACCCCCCAATAATTGCTCTCACCAGTTAAGAGCTCATCTTTTCATTTTGAGTGGATGTCTAAATAGGGTACAATATGATTGTCTGCTTGCAGAGCTGAGCAAACGAGCCCCCGTCTTTGAAGTTAATTGTCTCCAATTCTTTTTTTTTTTTTTGCTCTTTCCTGCAGCAGTTATTGTATGAGAGAGGGAACAAGACTTGAGAAAAAAACACTCATTGTCTTAAAAAAAAGGTATGTGTAGGTACCAGCATGTACTATTTACCTCCAAGTAAAACATGAGAAATGCATGGGTCTATTCAAAAAAAAAAAAAAACTCACCAGTGATGGGAAACTGACTTGATTAAGAATTAAAACAGAATAATTGTAATATTTATTTGTTTAATGTTATCAAGGCACACGTTTCTTCTGCAGTCAAACACACATGCATAAATTGCTGGAAATGTGTGAGCGTGCATGTGCACACTTCTTTTGCACGTAAAAGTTAAAAAGAAGAAACACGTGGACCGTCAATGTCTTTGATCAAGACATTCCCACGCCAATTATCGAAATAGACCGTGGGAACCTGGAGAAACATCACGTGTCAAATATAAACAACCAATTTTAAGAGGGGCCGCAACTCAAGGGCGGGTCGAGTGTGCAGCACCTGTGATCAAACTTTACCGCACATTATTCCCTTGTGGGCTTCGAGGACGCGTTACGCCACGGCGAGCAAATCGACACCGGACATCAGCTTCACTTCGACCCGGCCCGAGACCAAAGGTACTGGCATGGAGGAGGAAAATCGCCGCGAGAAGAGGCCGCCCTATTCGTACGCTGCTCTCATCGCCATGGCCATTGATAACAGCTCCGCCAAGAGGGAAACTCTCAGCGGCATCTACGACTACATCACCTCCAAGTTCCCCTTTTATCAGAGCAACGAAAAAGGCTGGAAAAACAGCGTCCGACATAATTTGTCATACTGTCATGTAAATCAATACCTTCTACTTTTGTTTTTATTGCCATTGTCTTGTGCGTGCAACATAGGAAGACGTTCTACGGTAGAAACAAAACTGACTTTCTCTTCTTAACGCGAGTCTTAAACGGAAAATAACCAAAAGCGCCTTCGCATTTCCTGTCGGGCAACTGCTCATGTATGTGCAGTATGTGTTGTCCTTCACACCTAAATGAAAACATGGAGGAAATAAAGTTGACTTCACTGTGGTTGTTTTTATGTTTGGGGAATCACATTGTGGAACACGTCACTAAAATGAAAGTTACAACCTATGGTCGCTTCTTTGACTGAACAATCTGCTTTTGGAATGGCTTTTTTCGCTGATTAAATCTGGGTAGTCAAGTAATTATTCATCACCGTGTCAGTGTGTCACTCTCTGCTACATTCCGCCAAGTCATGTATTTAGACCAGATTTGAACGCTGATTTAATGCGTGGAAAACACTTTATCAGCCCAGCCCTAAATATTATTTTGATGTGAGCAAGCATTGTAGGCGCAAGAATGCAGTACGTGTTATTTGTTCGTCGGTGCGATACTATTGAGATTTTTTTTTTTTATTCATCGAACTGATCGAGAAAAAAAATGCAGTACTGTATTGTCTTAGAAAAAGTATAATGTGTGAAACTTTTGATTTGTTGGCTGTTCTATTTGTTCAAATGAATGAAACACATAAATATGCCTGTGTGTCAATGTTTACATGTGATGGTTAGCCCTGAGACATATGAGTTGAGGCAAAGGTTGCCCTGAACTGGTTGCCAGCCAATCGCAGGGCACACAAAGACAAACATCCAAAAGGTCACACAGAGGCACTATTTCAGTGTTCAATTAACCTGCCATATTTTTGGGCTGTGAGAATAAACAGATTAGAAAATGGATGGATGGATGTTTGTTGTGGTTGATAAACTCACTCATCCCCTAATTCAATTAGCAGCAGACCTTTTTTTTTTTCCAACACATACACACAATGAATTAGCTTTCTACTTTGGTCAAAAGGTAGAATTACAAAGCACAAATCATGAAATGATGGCAAACCTAAAAGCACCCAGGAATAAATCAAGTATAGTATTCCCATTTCAAAATTTGACACAGTTGATTAAAAAGGGGTCTCTAAAACGGTTGAAGATTTACTTGGTTTTAAAAGGTCAACGTTTCGATACCCCCCAATAATTGCTCTCACCAGTTAAGAGCTCATCTTTTCATTTTGAGTGGATGTCTAAATAGGGTACAATATGATTGTCTGCTTGCAGAGCTGAGCAAACGAGCCCCCGTCTTTGAAGTTAATTGTCTCCAATTCTTTTTTTTTTTTTTGCTCTTTCCTGCAGCAGTTATTGTATGAGAGAGGGAACAAGACTTGAGAAAAAAACACTCATTGTCTTAAAAAAAAGGTATGTGTAGGTACCAGCATGTACTATTTACCTCCAAGTAAAACATGAGAAATGCATGGGTCTATTCCAAAAAAAAAAAAAACTCACCAGTGATGGGAAACTGACTTGATTAAGAATTAAAACAGAATAATTGTAATATTTATTTGTTTAATGTTATCAAGGCACACGTTTCTTCTGCAGTCAAACACACATGCATAAATTGCTGGAAATGTGTGAGCGTGCATGTGCACACTTCTTTTGCACGTAAAAGTTAAAAAGAAGAAACACGTGGACCGTCAATGTCTTTGATCAAGACATTCCCACGCCAATTATCGAAATAGACCGTGGGAACCTGGAGAAACATCACGTGTCAAATATAAACAACCAATTTTAAGAGGGGCCGCAACTCAAGGGCGGGTCGAGTGTGCAGCACCTGTGATCAAACTTTACCGCACATTATTCCCTTGTGGGCTTCGAGGACGCGTTACGCCACGGCGAGCAAATCGACACCGGACATCAGCTTCACTTCGACCCGGCCCGAGACCAAAGGTACTGGCATGGAGGAGGAAAATCGCCGCGAGAAGAGGCCGCCCTATTCGTACGCTGCTCTCATCGCCATGGCCATTGATAACAGCTCCGCCAAGAGGGAAACTCTCAGCGGCATCTACGACTACATCACCTCCAAGTTCCCCTTTTATCAGAGCAACGAAAAAGGCTGGAAAAACAGCGTCCGACATAATTTGTCCCTGAACGACTGCTTCGTCAAGGTGCCAAGGGAGGGCTGCGGGAGCAGGAGGGGCAACTACTGGATGCTGGATCGCGCCTTCGAGGACATATTCGAGGAGGGCAAGTTGCGGCGTCGTCGTCACAGTGTGAGGAGACCTCTGAGTAACCTGTCGAGTTCGTCCTACCCGAACTACCCGACTACCTACAGCAGCTCCTTGTGGACCGTGAGCCAGCCCACCTCCCCCCAACCGAGGTTCTACCACACCGGTCCGCTGCTTCA